GGAGGCAGCCGCTCAATGATTCTCTCTCATCATGGATGTTTCTCTCTCTCTCTCCCTCTCTCTTCCTCTGTGAAATCAATAAAAATATTGTTAAATGTATAAATAAAGTGAAATCCAGCATTTAGCGGTCGAGTTAGGGATAGTGGATAGCGTTCTGATTCCAGGAAGTCAATAGCAGATTGCAAATTCTGTTTGCAACTTGATCTTTGTTTTCACAAGTGGGTACCAGTTCATCAAGACAGATATTTACCATGTAGCATATAGTCATTTCCAAATGACAAAACACTTTGTCTTTCCTTCTTTTCACTGGAGCCTCACAACAACCCAGTGATAAACTACACGATAGAGGACTAAGGCAGAAGTAGAACCTGTAGTATTTAGTATGGCCTTCACAACTGTTTCTTGCTGTTGTTTGTTTAGCAAGTCTTATATTAGAGCAGTGATGGCGAACCTTTTGAGCTCAGCGTGTCAGCATTTTGAAAAACCCTAACTTAACTCTGGTGCCGTGTCACATATAGAAATTTTTTGATATTTGCAACCATAGTAAAACAAAGACTTATATTTTTGATATTTATTTTATATATTTAAATGCCATTTAAGAAAGAAAAATCAACCAAAAAAATGAGCTCGCGTGTTACCTCTGACACGCGTGTCATAGGTTCACCATCACTGTATTAGAGACACTTTCACAGTATTCCTGAGCCTCACTCCAAGCTTGTCTCATTTCCCAAGGACAGGCCTGGGGTCAGGTAAGGGTCAGAGATGGGTGCTGTGCACATTATTTTCTGCATCAAAAAGTTCACCAGCAGAAAGTGGGGGAAGACAACTCGAGGGAAAAGGTTGACATCACTTGTACACACACTTGGCCCGGCAGTCCCCTTGGTTCTCATGTCTAAATAAGACTCTCACCCTTGGTGGGGGTTTGGGGGTTGAATTTGTGCATCGACAGAGTCAGTTTACTGTGGGGCTCAGTCAATTTAGTACCATGGGTATTCTAAGAAGATCACACTGATGTGGTGATGACTAATTTAATAGTAATGGAGATTTATAGCATGTTGGCCCCACCCCATAACAAAGAAACAGAATTTCCGGAGGATGAGGCCCAGAAATCAGGATTTTAAAAAGATTCCCAGGTGATTCTAATGTGCAGCCAAGGTTGAGAACCACTGGTCTAGAACTATAGTGTCACTTTTCTTTCCTGGGCTCATCAATGCTACAATTCTACCATTCATTCCAAAGACCCATTTTCAAAGGGGAAAATTCCATTTCAAATGAGGAATGCTATACTAAAATGCTCTGTGTGTTTGTGTGTGTGCTCACACGGGTGAGCTAACCCTTAAATTGCAGTGTGAAAAGAAGGTCCCAGTATCCGTTCTCCATTTTGCTTTGGGTAATAAAGCAGCTTCCCCCAAACCATCCTGGCAGCCGGAGTCAGGAGAGACAGAATGTTCTCTTCTCCATATAAAATTAGAGAGAGAGGAAGAGAGAGAGAGACATCAATGTGACATTGATCGGCTGCCTCTTGCACACCCCCTACCAGGGATTGATCCCGCAACTCGGACATGATGGGGAATTGAACCAGCACACCACACACACACACACACACACACACACACACCGTGCATGGGACAATGCCCAACCAACTGAGCCACACCGGCCAGTGCTATGTATTGACTTTAATTGTGGTAAAATATAGGTACCATAAAGTATACCAGCTTAACCATTTTTAAGAGTACAATCAGTAGTGTTAAGTACGTTTACATTGTTGTGCAACTAATCTCCAAAACTTTTTCATCTTGCACAACTGAAACTCTATCCCCGTTAAACAACTCCCCATTTCCCCAGCCCCTAGGAACCATCGTTCCATTTTCTATCTCTATGAAGTTGAGTACTCTAAGTACCTCATGTAAGTGGAATGGTACAATATTTGTCCTTTTGTTACTGGCTTATTTCACTTAACACAATGTCCTCAAGGTTCACCCATGTTGTATCATGTGTCAGGATTTCTTTCCTTTGTAAGGTTGAGTAATATTCTACTGTATGTATAGACTACACTGTATTTATCCATTCACCCACTGATGGGCCCTATGTACTATTTTAGAGAAGGTTACATCATGATTTGTTGGGATGAAAAGCACTGAGTAGAGTGACATGTGCACTCTCTATGTTCCAACATTAAAAAGGAAGTTGCTGAAAGGCCTGAGTACAAAGACTTTTCTGCAAGAAGTGGATTGGTGAACAGGTAGAAATCTTTTAAAATTAGGTAGGATTCCAGACTTTAAATCCACTACCTTTAAGAATAGTCCAGACCAGTTCTACTCAAAGCACCAATATCAAGGTGTACATGGCGCTTACATCCAATATCTATATTCGAACAAGTTGGTATCCTAGTCTGTCTCTTGGCATAGTCACAAAATTTTACTCTTAGTTGTAAACCATGACTAGTTCAGATTTAAGGAATGGACTTGTTCAGATAACCTCTCTGGATACTTGGTCACCTACAGACACTGTATGCAAAGACGCAGGACAGTAGAACACATGGGGTTGGTTTAGATATTCACCTCAGAGGCACTGGAGAGCTGGGATAGATACCAGCTTTCTTAGATCTGAGTCTACTGCCCTCACATCACAGATGGAAATGAAGGCTAACAATGTAAACAGTTTAGTTATTTCAATTAAGGCCAGAGGAAAAGTAGAAATTGAAATTCAAAAAATGTTTGCTCAGTTTTAGATTGCCTACTCATTTGTATTCAATCATTAGCTTCCCAAAATATACAGTTCTCAGTGTGATCTTTGTTTATACCATATACTACTGTCATCACCATCAATGATTTACTGATTGGCCTTGAAAAAGCCATACAAGGTGTTCACTCATCAACCTCACTTTTATTCATTACATTTTTGGCTACACAGATCTTGCTGGGTCAGAAATACAACCATTCTGTTGACTGGTGGTCCTTTGGCGTCCTCCTCTATGAAATGCTAATTGGTCAGTCACCCTTCCACGGGCAAGATGAAGAAGAGCTCTTCCACTCCATCCGCATGGACAACCCCTTTTACCCCCGATGGCTGGAGAGGGAGGCTAAGGACCTTTTAGTGAAGGTAAGAAATGAAGTCAAGGTTAGTATTGGGTGCCGGAGCCAGTTTGGCTCAGTGGATGGAGCGTCGGTCTGTGGACTGAGGGGTCCCAGGTTCGATTCCGGTCAGGGGCATGTGCCTGGGTTGCGGACACATCCCCAGTGGGAGATGTGCAGGAAGCAGCTGATCGATGTTTCTCTCTCATCGATGTTTCTAACTCTCTATCTCTCTCCCTTCCTCTCTGTAAAAAATCAATTTAAAAAAAAGGTTAGTATTGGGTTTTCTGGTCAGTGTTCCCATTCACTTCTAAGCTCAGATTTATACCTGGTAGAGTAAACAATAATTGTCTTGAACTGAATTTAAATGGGATGCTCACCATCTCTGTCTTAACTGAGGCACCAATGTGATGAACATTAGACAGCAATAAACCCTTATGTGCATAATTTACAAAAAGAAATTACCAGGAACCAGTTCCATAACTCTTGGTTGCCCTCACTTGGACATGTGATTAGTCCATTGAACAAGTACAATTTGTGGCTTAAAACTCAACTTTTTTCCCCCATAGTCCCTATTAAATCTATTCAGTACAGTCCATCTTCCCCCACTCCTGGTGGAAAACTTGGACAGGATGCATGACTTTTCTGCTCATTCCTAGGGAAAATACATAAAACACCACCTCAACTGAGAAATTAAAACTGTTCAGTCTAAGACACAAGTCCTCACATCACTATTAACCCCAAAGCAAAGACTTCTGCTCCCTCTCCTCTGCCCAAGTTCCTGACTGGCAGCACTCAGCTTTGGAGAAGGGAGAGTGGTCATACTTGTGTGTCTTTGTTCTCTTCCTCTCCAGCTCTGGAGTTTCTATTTCAGACCATACCAGGTTAAAAGCAGGGAGAAAATTGAGGGATAATGAGGAGAAAGAACTATTCTTATATGGCTGGGGGCCTTGATGCTCTTCCAGTTTGGTAGGTTGTTAAAGCCAAGACTTCGGTGATGCGTTCTAGTGGGTTTTTGGAAATCCCTACCACTGGGGACATTTCTGGCTGAAGCTCTTGAAATGCAGGCTATTCAATGCATTCCACAGCCCAGCTCCTGTACCAAACCCTATTTCAGCAGCACTCCATCTCCCTGGGACTCTCACTGCTGGTGCCTGCCTAGCAGCTCTCAGGCAGACCAGCTCCCTGCCATACCCCCTACCTGTGTCCACTGGAAATATGAATGCATTTTTCAACCTAAAACTTTAAGAGTGCAGGCTGTCACCATCTTAGCAGCAATCTCCAGAATTCACCATCAACACAGGAATCAGACCCCCATCCATGATAGCCCAGGATCAATTAAGAATCAGTGTACAGCCCGGCCAGCACAGCTCAGTGGTTGAGAGTCGACCTATGAACCAGGAGGTCACAGTTGGATTCCTGGTCAAGGCATATGCCCAGGTTGTGGGCTGGGTCCCCAGTGTGCAGCATGCAGGAGGCAGCCAATCAATAATTCTCTCTCATCATTGATGTTTCTATCACTCTCTCCCTCTTCCTTCTTCTCTGAAATCAATAAAAATATATTTTTTAAAAAACACAACTACTTTAAAAAAAGAATCAGTGTACAGTGCTACAGATGTAAACTTAGAAAATCACTGGCCATAAGCCAAGAGCTCCCAAGGCAAACCAGTGCACAGACAGAGGAAGCACCTGAAAGCCATCATTAAAGATTTTCACAGAGTCTCAGTTTACCTTTATTGAGGATGCAAGATACTATCTACTGTTTATGACTAATAAGTTGTAAAAAGTAAACCATGGCAATACAACATGCTAATTGTGTATAATATTAATAACCACCTACATTTACTGAGCTATTCAGAACTATCTAGATCAGAAAGACCTTCCAGTGTGAGGCTAACAAATCTAAAAGAAGTGGACCAAGAATACAGGTGCTTTGAACAAAACAGTGTTTTGATTTCTGGCATCTCAGATCTCAGGTAACTTTAAAACAATTATTTAAGCCCTAGCTGATTTGGCCCAGTGGATAGAGTGTCAGACTTCGGACTGAAGGGTCTTGGGTTCAATTCCAGTCAAGGGCACATGTCCGGGTTGCGGGCTCAATCCCCAGTAGGCTTCTCTCTCATCATTGATGTTTCTATCTCCCTCTCCTTTTCCCTTCCTCTCTGAAATCAATAATATATATATATATATATATATATATATATATATATATATATATAATCATTTAAGGAAATAATTTTAGCCTTGTTTTTCCTATATTGAAAAGGGAAATAGGACAAGATCTTTCAACATAGAAGTGATCATTGAATTTTAAATGTAAACTTAGAAAAAGATTACCAGACCCATCTTTTTTCACTACTCTACCTTTTTCCTCATGAAGAACCATGGGAATTAAATTTAAAGGGCAACACTCCTACCTCTCTCACACAACTGACAGCTTGTCTAAGGCATTTGAAATGTTGAGGCCACTCTTGAGTTCTTCTTGAGGAATCAAGATGTGGAATCTGAAGTGCTGACAAAGCCCAGTAACATACTCCTCACCCCAAACCCCTTCCAAGGCTGGTGGTGTTTAAAAGTCTGAGCCAGTGCAACTCAGCTTTCACTGTTTCCAACTGTGATTCAAACAGTAGTAAACTTAGAAAGCTCCTCAAATGACCAATTAAATTCACTTTTAATGACTGAACAAAACACATATAAAATGAAAACTGATTTCAAAATCAACCAATTTTTTTTTAAAAGATGGTAAAAATAAGAGCAAGATTATAATGCAAGCAATTTTCTTTACATAAAGACAAGTTCAAATGTTATTACAGTTGCCACATTTATTTTACATTGGGCTTTTTGAAGGACTTAACCTGGCTCGATACCAGTGGGGGACATACAGGAGGCAGCCAATCATTGATGCTCTCTCATCATTGATGTTTCTATCTCTCCCTCTCCCTTCTTCTCTGAAATCAATAAAAAATATTTTTTAAAAAGAATGAACTACTATTGATATATAAAACAACTTGGATGGATTTTAAGGGCATTAAACTGACTGAAAAAAGCCAATCTCAAAAGCTTGCAAACTATATCAGTCCATGTATGTAACATCCTTGAAAGGGCAACGTTATAGAAATGGAAATCAGATTAGTGAGGCAGGGGATTGACTATAAAGGGACATCCTAAGGGAGAGCTTTGTGTTGACGGGACAGTTCGGTATCTTGTTTGCTGTGGTGGTTACCCAGATCTACACTTGTGATAAAATGACATAGAACAAGACATACTATACCATATTACATCAATGTGTGTTTCCTAGTCTTGATATTGTGCTATAATCATGTAAGATGCAAGCATTAGGGGAAACTAGGTGAAGGGTCCACAGAACATCTTTTTTTAACTATATTTTAACACCCTGTGAATCTATATATATACTTAATGTGACCCCCACAATTCATAAGTTTAAGCCCTAATCCCCCAGTATGATGGTTATAAGAGGTAGGTAATTAGGTATAGATTATATTATGGGGTGGGACCTCCATGATGGCATTAATGCCCTTATAAAAGGAGGAAAGGAGATCTACCCCTCTCAAGTGCATGCACCAAAGAAAGGTCATGTTATCACACAGCAAGAAGGTGGCCTTCTATAAGTCAGGAAGAGAGCCCTTACCAGAACCTGACTATGCTGGCACCTTGATCTTGAACTTCCAGACTCCAGAATTATCCTATATAATAAAAGGCTAATATGCAAATCGACCAAACAGTAAAACAACTGGTCACTGCAGGAGCTGCCCCTTGGTGGTCAGTGCGCTCCCTCAGGGGAAGCGCTGCTCAGCCAGAAGCCAGGCTCACAGCTGGAGAGCACAGCGGTGGTGGTGGGAGCCTCTCCCACCTCCGTGGCAGCACTAAGGATGTCCAACTGCCTGCTTAGGCCTAAGCCATCAGTTAGACATCCCCCAAAGGCTCCCAGACTGTGAGAAAGTGCAGGCCGGGCTAAGGGACCTCCCTGAATGTATGAATATTGTGCACCAGGCCTCTAGTGAGAAATAAATGTCTGTTGTTTAAGCCACACAGTTTATGGCATTTTGTTATAGTAGTCCAACCATACTAAGATACTGTAATTATTTCAAAATAAAAAGTTTAAAATCAAAATCTAAGGCTAAATGCCAGCAAATACAAAAAAAAAAATCTGCAGAGTTTCAGTAGCAAGAAAAAGATTTGCAGCTAGAGTAGAAAGTAAATGTTGTTTAATAGAGCAGAAACCAAGACAAGGATAAAGAAGGGAAGAAAAAGGACTGTTGTTGCAAGAGTATTTAAATCCATGTGTTAGAGTTTGGGCTTATTCTTTCCCACAGGAGTTAATGAAAATCCCATGCCCTTGCTCCATGGGGAAGGTAGCTCTTGCCCATCTTTTAACAATTGGGCTGACTTTTGCAAAAACCAAAGGTAATATTTCTGAGAAACTTCCTCTAGGGAGTTATGCCTAATGTTGTGAAACCCAGCAGCAGTAGGTCTTCTGGAAAAGCTGAACAAAGAAGCATCTAGTGGCATCTGTCACAGCGGCAGTGTCAGCACCAGATTCTATCCCCTTTAGCCCTCATAGCACATGGGTGTGTGTAATACGGAGAGCAACTGCACAAGGAGGGAGGCTTCACTCCATTAAGAACTGCAGCTGGGATGCTGTAGCACAGTGGACCATTGCCAAAGACATGCCTCTTTCTTCCCCATTTATTCATCCAGGATGTCCGATCCATTTGTTTGGAAAATAATGGAAAACTAATTATCTCAAACAGAATGCCTCTCCCTTTTGTAAAAGATATATCTGAGGAGTGGACAAAGAGGAAGGGAAGATTCCAGTGACAGGTGTTAAGCACGGGGTGGGCCATCCTTGGCAGCCCAGCACTGCTTTTTCGCCTAAATAGTTGAATTTAAACAAACTCTCGTTACATCCTGGCCACTTATGTAAACAGTGTGCTATTTTCTATCAATGTAAACCACCCTTTTGACAGCTTTTGTGAACAAAAGCAAGTATTACTACATGAACATTTATTCCCTCAATGCAAATTCCTTGCCACAGACACAGTCATCTTCAGGACCTGGGAGGAAGAGGAGGTGACTTATTGCAGGGCAGAAAAGATAGTAATTTATTCTTGTGTGCAAAACTAGAAAGAATTTTGACTCTTTTTTTACATTTTTTAAAAAATATTTTATTGATTTCAGAGAGGCAGGAAGAGGGAGAGAGAGATAGAAACATCAATGATGAAAGAGAAGCATTGATTAGCTGCCTCTTGCACGCTCCCTACCTTGACCTCCTGGTTCATTGATCAACACTTAACCACTGAGTCACACCAGCTGGGCAGAATTTTGAGTCTTGAAACTGGAGATCATATTATATTCTCATTATACATTTTATCTTTTAAAAAATTTTTTTTAATTTCACAGGTACATATAACAGGCTCATGATCCTCTTGGTACAAATGCCACATGTCACTAGAAAAATCTAATGGAAAACCTAGTATGTACACACTTGGCCTCCGGCAGTTACTTCTAACTTAATTCGCTGAAGCATTTAATTATAACAACATGAGGTAGTGTTCGCCCTTTTCTTGAGGCACTTGCATCCTCTCAATAATCTTGTTTCATCAAAATGTCCTTAAGAAGTGGAG